GAAGTAAGCCAGAAAGATAAAGACCATTACAGTATACTAACACATATATATGGAATTTAGAAAGATGGTAACGATAACCCTATATGCAAAACAGAAAAAGAGACTCAGATGTATAGAACAGACTTTTAGACTCTGTGGGAGAAGGCGAGGGTGGGATATTTCGAGAGAACAGCATCGAAACATGTATATTATCTATGGTGAAACAGATCACCAGCCCAAGTTAGATGCATGAGAGAAGTGCTCGGGCCTGGTGCACTGGGAAGACCCAGTGAGGTGGGAGGGGGGGGATCGGGATTGGGAATACATGTAACTCCATGGCTGATTCATGTCAATGTATGACAAAACCCACTACAATACTGTAAAGCAATTAGCCTCCAACTAATAAAAATAAATGGAAAAAAAAAATATGCACCACACACTATTCTAAGCAATTTACAGAGATCACCTCATCTGACCTTCCAAACAGCTGGTACGTAAAATGATGACCCTAATTTCACAGACGAGGAAACTGAGGCACAGTGAGATTAAATACTCTGCCCAAGGTCCAAAGACAAGAAGGGATAAAGCCAGGACTAAAACAGAGGCACTCTGATCCAGGAGCTATAGATGCCAGAAACTGCCAACTGCACTCAGCCCTTCATTCAACAGATGCAGAAGTTCCAGGTCACCAAGGTAAGATTAGAATTCAGAGGTCAACTGCCAGGAGACTGTCTGATTCTAGCTTTGTTTAGATTGTGTGTGTGTGGGTGGGTGGGGGGAATGTGGACCATTTTTAGTTTTTATTGAATTTGTTACAATATTGTCTTTGTTGATGTTTTTTGGTTTTGTGGCAGTGAGGTATGTGGGATCTTAGTTCCTTGACCAGAATCACGAGGGATCAAACCCGCAACCCCTGCATTGTAAGGCGAAGTCTTAACCACTACATCACCAAGGAAGTCCCTGTTTAGATCTTAATTTGGAAGAAGACAGGTCAGAATAGGTGGGAAGGCTGATGGGCAGAAAGGAAAGAAGATCCACAGATCATTTAGTTGATTGCTTGACACATCAAATGATTGGTCAACAGATCGATAATAATAGACAGAAAGAACTGCTCATTCCTTAGCTATCTCCAGTGCACAGCTTATAGTAGATAATCAGCTATTGCTCTTTGAGCCATGAAAAAATGTCAAGACATGCTATTAATGCCGCCCGAGTGTTCTCTAATTTAACGTAATTTTACAGGATGCTGTTCTGTGCCGGCCCAGAGGCCCACAGTTAAGGAAAGACAAGAGGCTTAGAATGGGTGAGCTGCCTTGCCAGGAAACCCTCAGAGAGGAGCTTGACTTTATTTTTTCAGTCTCAGTTAGTCTGCCTATATTTTGATGGGCATAATGAATATAATGTTCTGTGTTAACACAGAGAAACTAGTTCGCTTTGCTCGGGCTTTATGTTAATTTCTTGCTGACATGACCACAACCTGAATTTATCTCACTAAGAAAAAGATTTCTTTCCAAATAGCTGTCACTGTGTAAAGTCATCACAGAAGATGTCAAATCTCCAACAGGTCAGATCAGATAAGTTTGCTCCCGACCTAGGGAATTGTGCCATCGTGTGCAAACATCATTCATGGGTTTCCCGGGAAAACAATCCAAACAGAAAATATCTGCTGTGAGACTCTTTCAATGACTTTAAGGGGAAACACTTGCAGTGACAATACCATCTACTTTCTGTAGCTGAAACTACTTTCTACTTGGAAAGTTATTTATGTGCTAGAAACGGGCTAGACAACACGTCAATTCAAGTAATTTATCTTTTAAGCTCAAAGAAAGGAGGCAGAGAGCAGATGTTCTGACGTATGCATGCATCTTCCTCCCACCAAATCCACTGGACTGCCACACAGATGCTTAATGAGTAATTGTCGACTTGAGGTGGGGTCTAGGTAGCTGCAGTCTTCAAAAAGATGCAGTTTCCCTCTGCAATCCCAAGTCTTGGACTTGCTCTCTGTGGTTTTGAGGTAGCTGCCTAAATAAGGCTGGCCTGTAAATGCTCTAATGCGGTACAACATTAATAAGGTCCAAGGATCAGATCAATGCAAGCTCACAGCTCACTAGACACTGGAATCCCCAACAAAGAAGAAGCAGGCCTCGGAATGACTCGCACTCCTGGCTGCACTTTGTCATTTTGAGCAGCAATTCTGGTACGAGAAACTTAATCTGTTTCCAAGCCTGTTGCTAAATACATAATTTTATATTAAAAAATACAATACACAGAGAATGTCCAAATGAGCCAAAAACAATAAACTAGATACAACCAAGAAGAGCCCCAGAGGCTGAACATGGGAGCAGAAGCAAGAAACAAGCATCTGTATATAGAAAACAACCATCTCAACCGACAAGAAGTCTACTCGCCTGTAGAACTGTTTTTCTTTCCTTGGGATCTACCTCTATGTATGGTAAGTAACAGAGTATCTTGTTGAGACTGTAAGGAGGCTAACAGAGAGCTTTGGAGATATATTTTATGTTTAACATGTCACAGCAACAAGGTTCAAGTGTGGTGTGAACAGGTTTAATTTTCTCCTTGAATATCAGGCCGGATGGGGTGAGAAACTGGCTGCACACAGCTCAGAATCCACCTCAAACCCCGAACCTCAGCGTTACCTCCAGCAAGGGAGCAGCATTAGGTGTACACGGGGTGTCTCCTCGGTGTCCTTTAATTTGGGTTTCCTCTAAGGCACACCCTACATCGAGGATTTGACAAGAATTATTTACTGGGGGGGCTTCTGTGGTGGCTCCGTGAGCAAGAATCTGCCTGCAATGAGGGAGATGTGGGTTCGAGCCCCTGGAGAAGGAAATGGCAACCCACTCCAGTATTCTTGCCTGGAGAATTACATAGACAGAGGAGCCTGGCAGGCTACAAACGTCGGACATAAAGTCGGACATGACTTGGCCACCAAAAAATAACAATTTCCTGGGGAAGTAGTCCCAGGAAGCAAGAGGAGCAGAGTGGGGAACTGAGCGAAGGAAGGAGGCCAGTGCAGGACGGAACATCAACAAGTCAGCAAGGCAGACACCTGGGGTCCAACACCACCAAGGACGCCAGGAGGCGGTGTGGACATACCTCTGCGGTTTTTCCACCCGAGAGGCAAGGGCGCGAGGGCGGTGCATACAGACCCCTACATGCAGTGGGGTGGGAGGGGGCTCCGACTTTACAGCCCATACATGAGCAGAGCACATGGCCAGAGAAAGCTCCCACTCAGGTGGGAAGACAGATGCAGGAGCTGGAAAGTGGACAAAAAAAGGTGAGTGCTAAAGCAGGACTCGAAGAGTCTCTGCTCATCTGTGTTCACAGCACACATTCCCAACAGCATTCCCAACAGCCAGCCAGGAGTCCGTCAATGGATGAACAGACAGATAAGATACAGTCTACACATAAACTGGAATAATAGTCAGCCTTAAAAAAGAGGGAAATCCTGTCAAATGCTTCAACATAGGTGAACCTTGAGAATATTATGCTAAGTAAAATAAGCCAGTCACAAAGGATAAATATAATATGATGCCATTTATATGAGGCACCAAGAGTAGTCCATTTCATAGGCAGAAAACAGAACAGTTGTGGCCAGGTGACTGACAGGAAGGAGACATTAGAAATTAGTTTAGTGGGTACAGTTTTAGTTTTGCAAAACCAAAAAGTTCTGGAGGCAAATGATGGGGATGTTTGCACAACAGTGGGAATACAGTTAATGCCACTAAACCGTATATTTTAAATGGTTAACCATACATTTAAAATGGTTAAAGAGTGACTCTTTTACCACAAATGTTTTTTAAAGGTAAACCTAAAGGGTTCACTCTAAAAATCCCCTCAAAGACCTACCCTCAAAGATCTTCAAAGAGACCAGATGAAGCAAAAGTTACCTAAGGACAACCATCAACAGAGATTTGGGGAAGGGGATGTCTAGTTAAAAAATTAATTTATTCACATTTTTTCTAATTGTAGAATTAATATATGATCACTGATGTGCTTCCCTGGAGGCTCAGATGATAAAGAAACTGCCTGCGATGCGGGAGACCTGGGTTCGATCCCTGGGTTGGGAAGATCCCCTGGAGGAGGGCATGGCAACCCACTCCAGTATTCTTGCCTAGCGAACCCCATGGACAGAGGAGCCTGGTGGGCTACAGTCCACGGGTCACAGAGAGTCAGACACGACTGGGCAGCTAAGCACATGCACATGTAATCTCTGAGGAAAACTTGGAAGATACAAGAAGAGAAGAAGACAATGTGCGTCATCTATAATCTCTTTGCAGGGCTGACTCTGGGGATGGCAGCATGGAAAAAGAAGTATAGGAAGATCATGTCAGGAGGCAGGACAGCGCCCAGCCACAGCCGCTGGCAGCAGGTGCAGCGGCAGAGCTGGGCTGCAGGCCCGCTGGGCCTCACTGTCCCTGCAGGCTAACAGCACCCTCGGAGCCAACGTCTTTAAACACCTTGCTACTCGAGGTGTGAGGAATGGGTCAGAAGCATCTGCATTCCCTGGAAGCTTGCGAGAAATGCAGTCTCAGGCTCCAGCCTGCACTTGCTGAATCAAAAAATGCATTTTAGCATTTGGGTTAAAATATAGGTGACTTCAAGCACAGAGTTTGAGAAGCGCTGCTCCAACACAGCCCTTCTACACCAGTCTACAATTTCAGTCTAACCCTGAAATGGGTTATTTAGAGCTACTAACCTTCCAGTACCTTGGTGTTACAATTTCTACTTTGTCTTGTGGAAAATAATCCCCCTGACAGATACTACATGATATCACTCATATGGAGAATCTGATTTTTTTTAAACTATATAAATGAGCTTATTTAGAAAACAGAAACAAACTCATAGATTTTGAAAACAAATTTATGGTTACCATAGGGGAAATGTAGGGGAGAGGGATCAATTAGGAGCTTGGGATTAACACACACACGTACTACTATATATGAAATAGATAACCAAAAGGACCTGCTGTATAGCTCACGGAACTCTACTCAATAATTCCTTAATAACCTATATGGGAAAAGAATCTGAAAAAGAATGAATATACATATATATAACTTAATCACTACACTACACACCTGAAACTTCCAAAAATATACACCAATAAAATTAATACAAAAAGAGAGAGAGAGAAGAGAAAAGAGCCCCTCTGCCAGCCTTACAATGAGGGAACGCAGCATTTGGCAGAGAGCAGACGCTCTGCAGCTGAGTGCCGATACAGTCAGCATGGGTGTCACACAGATGGTCACCTGGAGAAAGCCAGCGGAAAGCGACATCATTCAGAAATGTTCATCTACGATAACAAATTTTATTTTATTATACTGGGATTAAAAAACAAAAACGAAAGAACTCTAGTCCCAAGGCATATTGAAAAAGATAATTATTTTCTCTTAAGACTGAATGCTTCTTCTGTAATGCAGTTCCATATTCTTAGACTTTCTTCAGACCTTAAGAAAAAGCAAATGAAATGACATGCTGAAACTTGCACTGACCCTCCTGCATTTCCAAAGCTGCCGTGTGCTGTGCTTAATGTCTTTTTCCTTTGTTTCACACCAACTTTGTAAGCAGCAAACAGCAGTTTGTTGACTTGTGCAATGATGCAACTAGAAGTGCCCTA